TTTAAGAGGTCTTGATATAATTTATTAACAAATATACTAACGATATTTGTTGACATGGGTCTAAATATTGCGCGCGTACAAATTTCAGGAGGTTTGTACATAATATTTTAAATATCAGGCAATTTGAATAATTAAGTGACAAATTTCAAGAGTTTGAAATTAATTCTCCCTTATTAATTTTAATCGCATCTGTTAATCCCACCTTTCTAACCAAGTAACTTTCGTTTCAATCAACTTTTCAAGAATAATTGAATGACAAGTCACTCCCTAGAATATAGCAAGGCTTAAATTTGACCTTTTTTTTTTTTTTGGGGTAAAGTCTCCCAACTATTTTCAAAAAGAAATTGGTTATTCATATAGATGAAAAAAACTTTTTTTGTAGTGATGTTGATAATTTATTTAGTTTCCACAATTGTCCTGTTTTACTTCAAGTGAAACCAACCCATGCATCTATAATCAATTTATGATAATTTGAATAACATTTGTTTTTTATTTTAAATCCAACGGTCAGGGGTGTTTGAGCCATCTTTAGTACACCTCAATTAATCTCGTTCTCGATTCGGTCAATGACAGATCATTCACACCGGAACTAGAATATTCATGAACAGTAAATCCCTCATAACTCTCAAGATGTCTAGATTTACAGTTCATCTCTGTTACCATTTGAGCTACTCTTAGGGTTATTTGAAAAGCACTCATCTAAAATTGATCATCATCCAAAAAAAAAAGAAGGGAAAATCCGTTCAGACTCTCTTAGATTTGTTAGTTAATCACGTAGACCCCAAACATTTAAAATATTACACATAAACCCCCTAAATTTGTACATACATAACAATTAGGCCCATGTCATCAATGTCCGTTAATATATCCATTAATAAATTACACCTCGACCCTCTGATGTTTGTAAATTTGTAACAGTTTGACTTTNAAACCCCCTAAATTTGTACATACATAACAATTAGGCCCATGTCATCAATGTCCGTTAGTATATCCATTAATAAATTACACCTCGACCCTCTGATGTTTGTAAATTTGTAACAGTTTGACTTCTCAAATTTAAAATATTACACTTGTACCTCTTATTAGGTACAAAATTAACGAAATCTTTTAAATGACCGAATTACCCCAATTAAATATAGAATATTTGTTTCTATTACAATTTGATCATTTATTTAATTTTTTAGTTTTATTCCAATAGACAATATAATTATATGCATATGAGTGTTGAATTGAGTTCTTTCATATATTTATACTAATAACTATATGCAGTTCATACCTTTGAGTCAGTTANTTAAATATAGAATATTTGTTTCTATTACAATTTGATCATTTATTTAATTTTTTAGTTTTATTCCAATAGACAATATAATTATATGCATATGAGTGTTGAATTGAGTTCTTTCATATATTTATACTAATAACTATATGCAGTTCATACCTTTGAGTCTGGCTTAAGCATTAAAGAGTCGACCTTCAGAGTTCTACTCCAGTCTCTAACTTCCTTTCCAAATGATCGAAATCTAACAAAATGATGTGTAAATCATCCAAATTTTTGCATTAACAGTAATAATTATAATTTTTAAGAAAAAATTAGATTTTTATTTTTGATTTATTTAAATAAATGACATAATAAAATATGAATTTTTGTTATAAAATTTAAAATATTTGATATTCTATCTTTAGTTGAAGTAATTTTGGTTTAAATATAATATTTTAAACTTGAGGGGTCTAAGTGTTTTGTGTCTACAAACTTCAAAAATTTAGATATGATTTATTAACATATATAATAACTGACATTAACGGCAAGGACTTAAGTGTTGCGCGCGTACAAATCTTATGAGATCTGTGCGTAATATTTCAAATATCAAGAGTCTAAGAGTTTAAGTGATAAACTTAAGGAGGCCTGAGTGTAATTTTCTCAAAAACACTATTTTTTTTAACTCTTTACATTAAAATTTTAAAGGGTAAATTATATTCGGAACCTAAGATTTGTCACATAATCAGATAAACTCTCTCATATTTGAAATATTAGTCTTAAACCCCTCAAAATTTGTACATATGTAACACATAAAACCCTATCGGCAGTATCCATTCCAAACTACCTTTTCATCTTGAAGGGTAGTGCTAGTGTGTAGGGCAGCTCAACAGGAAAAATAAAAATAAAAACTTAAACTTTAGGTCTCATTTTTATGGAAGACCCCAAATTTTTAGATACCTAAAATAACTCATTTGAAAAAATTAAATTCATAAATATTTTAAGTTTAACAAAAAGGCATCATAAAAACACATACCCAACAATAACAATTTAAATTCAACCATTGGCCCATAATTTAATCCAAATATTAAAAACTCAAAAAAATAAATAATTAATGATAAAAAGAAAATTATCAAATCATTACTTACAAATCACACACACTCTCTCTCTCTTAAGAAGCTAAATTGGCCACCGCCTAATTAAAAGGATCAACTATGTCACAAGAGAGATTAATTGAATTAGCGATCCTATTAATTGACAAAGATATAGTAGTAAAACTTGAATATAAAATTTAATTAGTGCCTTTTCATTTCAAAGACAAGAAAAATAAATTTATATTAAACATAGAAAGTTCCATTTATAAATATTGTTTTAAAACTCAAATTACCCTGAACCACCGGTGTTAGTGTGCCACCGCCAAGCCATAAACAACC